GGCTACTTCAGTGTGCAGGCACCTTAGCTGGCTAAGCCAGGAGGGTAGCAGTGATGACTGCCAAACACAGTAGAGATATCAAGATGGAGAGGAAACTTCTTTTTAGACTTAATCAGGGATGCCGTTGCAGCCTTTTATCCTAGTGACCCAATCATCAAGAGATGCAACCTCCAACAGGTATGCAAATTGATGGAACCTCCATTAGTGATACAAATTGCCTCCAATTGCTTAATTGGCTCCACCTATTTTCCTGAACCCCTCCAACGTCTCCAATCCTAAGCTTCTGACAGTTGGGAAAATCCAGCCGATAAACTTTTGAAACTTCCAATTTGTCAGTTATAATATATTGTTGTACTTTGTATGTGACTATGTACCCTGACCATAAATAAATTCCACAGTCCCAAATCCAAAGTAGTAATGTCAAAAAAATCCAGTTGTCTTTCCAAATATCAGCAGACTTTTTTTTTAAAAAATGACTAGCCAGCTTGCATTCTTCTTTCCATTAGTCTGGATTTTTACAGTAGTAAATCACTAAAATTGTCATCATTGCTCCACTGAAATAGATATGTAATTTTGAAGTCTGCAAATGTACAGAATAAATATATGGTCATTGACTCTAATTTTGAGGCACCTAGAGGCTGAAATCAATGGAAAATCAATTAAGCTGATGACAACTTCAACTCTTAAGCTGTTATTTTCACTGTAAAGACCATTAAGAGAAGTGTAGCTAGGCTTTTAATGGCATGCAAACTTCATAAATACTTCTGTGTAATCTCAATTGCTGTGAGAAACCAATTTTATATTTGTTGAATGTCAAGTTTAATGTATTCAAAATTGACTATTTGTAAAATAGTAAGTTAATTTTAATTCAACTTCTTTCTTAATTCAATTATAATGATTTATTTCACTGTCTGAAAATGTAAATGTTAATACTGTTGATTGTGGTGTATAATTCAACCTGGAGTATAAGACAACCCCATTTTTCTGGGGTTAAAATCATGTTTAGGTCTATACTTGGCATCTAAATCATAATCCTTAATGCACATGGTGATCTCTTTAACTCAGCCTGAATATATTCACTGAACCAGTCTCAATTGCTTCTAATGGAAGAGAATTCCAGAAGCTAATGAGCCCCGTGAGAAAAGAATTTTCTCTTTCTCTCATTCTTAAATGGGAATTCCCTTATTTTCAACTGTGCCCCCACGTTCTTGATGCTACCACAAGAGGAAGCATAATTTCAGCATCTACTCTCTCAAGCCCCCTCAGAGTATTCTATATTTCAAAAATATCACCACTTGTTTTTCTAATCTCCAATGAGTAAGCATTCAACCTGCTGAAACCTTTGGATACAAAGAGAGATCGAGAGAACGAAAGAGAGAGACAATGCCGCTACTGTGAAGAATAGGGATAGACTGTGCATATGTTAGCAGACAAGCAGGATGCTGCATACAGGTGGATCTCTGTTCAAAAAGATGAAGACAGAACAGATGGGACCTTTGGAGATTTAAGGAACAAGGAGTTGCCAAGATGGTTTTTGCCTGTGGTGGGCAGTTCATGAGTACTCAGACTGAGTGGGAAGATCTTTGAAAGAAACTGGGTTGGACAAGTGAGCCTGCTTGAAAACAGGGTGTATTTTGGGTTTGGATCTCATGATTCTATGTACCTCCCAAAAGCGCTTTGCATAGGGAAAGTAATTGTAGGATGTATCTTGATTGTGTTTGTTAGTTAGTGCAGAAATACATTCTCATTAGTTCAATGTCGTAGTTGCCTATTAAGTAATTTTAAACTATCTTGATTTTAGCTTATTAGTCACAACAAACATCTTAAAACATAAAATCTTCTCCTTTGGTTATTTCAATTGATTGCGGGGAAAAAAAAGTTCGGGTAATCAGTCTGTATAGGGGTGACAACACAGTGAGAATACTTAAATGTGATTGGCTGATTACCTGCTTCCTGACATCACTGCTCCTGCATGCCAGGACATCCTTTTGACTTGAAGTAAGAATTAAATGGCCATTTAAAGAGGAAAAACCCATGACTGATATCACTGTGGGATGAATTGGTGAATTGTGTTACTCCACCGCTGACCACACATTCCAGCCTATTTGTTTTATTCTGTTTATTTTCATGTTAACAGAAATTATCTCCATAAAAAGAAAGCACTTTCAGAGTATTAATTGCTTTAGAACTTAACTGCACTAAAGAAGTGATCACTGAAATTGTCTTTAAAATAATAAAAGGTATTGATATGGTTGAAGTCAGCAAGTGATTTAGCTTGAGCCAAGGAGCACAGTAGAACATTCACCAGCCTTAACAAGTTTAAAGCTTCGGAAAATAGTGTTTCCCCAGGTATTCACTATCTTTTGCTGTTGCTTTTTGTAGTGGTAGGGGAAAATATGACAGAGGAAGTACAATTAATATGCTTTTGGGTGGCATGGTGGCTCAGTGGTTAGCACCACTGCCTCACAGCATCAGTTCAGTTCTGGCCTTGGAGATTGTATGTGTGGAGTTTGCACATTCTCCCCATGTCTGTGCGAGTTTCCTCCAAGTGCTTTAGTTTCCTCCCAAATTCTAAAGATGTGCAGGTTAGGTAGATTGGCCGTGCTAAGTTGCTCATAGTGCCCAGGAATATGCAGGCGAGGTGGATTAACCATGGGAAATGCAGGTTACAGGGATAGGTGTGGGTGAGTGGGATGCTTTTCGGAGAGTCAATGTAGACTTGTTGGACCAAATAACCTGCTTCGACAGTGCAGGGATTTCTATGATTATGGCTCCCTCTTCAATAACTTTTTCATTTCAACGCCTTGTTCTGATGCTGAACTTCTCCCTTTTCTTTCTATGCCTTTTGTATAACAGAGATTTAGCTTTTGCCACTATAATTTAAAGCAATAGGTATTTTTCTTGAATCAGAGATAGTAGGAACTGCAGATGCTGGAGAATCCGAGACAAGGTGCAGAGCTGGATGAACACAGCAGGCCAAGCAGCATCATAGGAGCAGGAAGGCTGACGTTTCGGGCCTAGACCCTTCTTCAGAAATGGGGGAGGGGAAGGGTGTTCTGAAATAAATAGGGAGAGAGAGGGAGGTGGATAGAAGATGGATAGCGGAGAAGATAGGTGGAGAGGAGATAGACAGGTCAAAGAGGCAGGGATGGAGCCAGTAAAGATGAGTGTAGGTGGGGAGGTAGGGAGGAGATAGGTCAGTCCAGGGAGGATGGACAGGTCAAGGGGGTGGGATGAGGTTAGTAGGTAGGAGATGGAGGTGGGGCTTGAGGTGGGAGGAGGGGATAGGTGGGAGGAAGGACAGGTTAGGGAGGCGGGGACGAGCTGGGCTGGTTTTGGGATGCGGTAGGGGGAGGGGAGATTTTGAAGCTTGTGAATTCCACATTGATACCATTGGGCTGCAGGGTTCCCAAGCGGAATATGAGTTGCTGTTCCTGCAACCTTCGGGTAGCATCGTTGTGGCACTGCAGGAGGCCCAGGATGGACATGTCGTCTGCGGAATGGGAGAGGGAGTTGAAATGGTTTGCGACTAGGAGGTGCAGTTGTTTAGTGTTCTGCAAAGCGGTCCCCAAGCCTCCGCTTGGTTTTCCCGATGTAGAGGAGGCCACAACGGGACTTCACAAGCTTCAAAATCTCCCCTCCCCCTACCGCATCCCAGAACCAGCCCAGCTCGTCCCCGCCTCCCTAACCTGTCCTTCCTCCCACCGATCCCCTCCTCCCACCTCAAGCCCCACCCCATCTCCTACCTACTAACCTCATCCCGCCCCCTTGACCTGTCCATCCTCCCTGGACTGACCTATCTCCTCCCTACCTCCCCACCTACACTCACCTTTACTGGCTCCATCCCTGCCTCTTTGACCTGTCTATCTCCTCTCCACCTATCTTCTCCTCTATCCATCTTCTATCCGCCTCCCCCTCTCTCCCTATTTATTTCAGAACTCCCTTCCCTCCCCCATTTCTGAAGAAGGGTCTGGGCCTGAAACGTCAGCCTTCCTGCTCCTCTGATGCTGCTTGGCCTGCTGTGTTCATCCAGCTCTACACCTTGTTATCTCAGATTCTCCAGCATCTGCAGTTCCTACTATCTCTGAAGGGACTGATGATCCAGATTTCATAGTCATGTGACCTCACAACTGGCACAGCAGTGAAGCAATAGCAAATGTTGCTGACCATGAAGAAAACTGCCCAAAAAAATCTAGCGTTAATATACAGTGGATTTCACCTTTCCTGATGCCAGTTTGAATTAGGCTTCCAGTTGAGGAAGTCTCACCGGTAGTAATGTCTTTAAGCAAGGTAATCAGCCAACTGCATTCAAATTTCTGGAAAGACTGCGTATCAGAAAGTAAAACGGGATTGTAATCCTTCAATTTTAACTAGGTTTTGCAGAACAAAATAAACCAAATGCACATTTAATTATGTAATAATATATCATGTGATTTGTTAAAAATTAAATTGCATAAACCTGACAACAACAAATATAAAATTAAGTTTCAGGGTCAGTGAGATTGATCAGAAATAATTATGACCTAAGATTGCTTCATTCAATAAGGTGTAAACTTTTGAGTTTTTTTTCGAGTGGTACATAGTGTAAAGGCCTATTTTTCATGAAGTTCAGTAATTTATAGCTGTCTACAGACCTTGGAGACTGCAAGAGAGCACGTGATGCATAGAATCAGTGGTAGTAACTTCTGGATTGCCACAATTAACAATGGTAGGTGTGAATTCCAAAAGTTACTGTCAGTTTCAAAGGAATGTAGAAAATCTGATTTTCCTTTCTGCTGCAAAATTCAGACCAATTAATTTCTTCAAGTGGTCAACAAAACCTGCTTATGCCAATTTTGTCTGTTTTCAGCCTCATATCTAATATCTGCTTAGTACGTCAAGAAGAGTTGATTGAGATAATGTGTTTCAATCTGTTGAAGTTTTATCTCATCTTGTTAAATCTCATTTTAGTTTCCTCAGGATGGGACAGATTTAGACAAGACCGTGACATGGACAAATCAATATCAGTATGCCTATCCAATCTGGTTTGGTCCGTTTACAGTTTTCCTAAGTATCAACCACCCTGATTATGCTAAAACATTACTTACAACTGCAGGTAAGAATATTAACCAAGCTTTCTTTTTATTGCTATGCAATCAACAATTATTTATTTAGTTGTAAGGACCAGCTTCCAAATCTTGGTTGCAAACATCACTGTTGCAAGGAGAGAAACAGCAATAAGATATTTTGTTTTGTGCACAAGGAATTAATTTTAATTTCTGGCAAATGTGTAACATGGATGACGTCACATCAGTCATTCATTATCTGATTTTCCTCATCAGCTTTAGGTAACAACTGTGAAATTGTCCCTTTATCTCTATCACTAAAAATTGAAATCACTTCCTACATCCCTTCTCCACGCCTTCAAGGTACAATAACATTTTGAATAAACATCAAATTTTGTTGTGTGTTTATCCAGTAATGTTGGAAATTTTCTAATCAATATAATACAATACCTCTTTAAAATGTTAGTCAATTATTTTTATTGCTTGAATGTTACTAAGTAGGCCAAAGATTATTACAGTAAAACCTCAAAGTGGAATGACAAGGGATCCCCATGAAATTCGAGTCAAGGAGAACTTTGTGACGTGTGGGAAGCCCCAAGGTGGCATTCACATGACCTCACGGCTGACAGCACGGGAAATGAATGGGGAATTACATAAATTCTTGTGTGGAAATACTCTGAGCCTTTCTGTCTTTTGGAGAGGTGAGAAATTTAAAGGAAAAGGCAACAAGACTCCAAATATTTCCCAACAAGACTCTGACACCACACATTGGCCACTTTCTCTGCTGAAAGCAGCCATCTCACCATTTGCATAGGTTACATGTTTCAAAGAATGTATTGAAGTCTTTTGGGAAATGATCCAAATTTTTTTTTTTAGGGATCTAATGTTCACGCCAAGCAATCTTGAGTGGTTTAACTTGGCAGTTTGATTGATTTGACTTGATGGATTTTGTCTGTTTCCAATTTTGGCTAATCTGGAGTGGCCCATTCAGCTTCTCCCAGCTATTGCTCAATAGAATTTAATATTCTGCCAGAATGATTAGCTGACACATTCATCATAACCAGAATTTTGAATAGTCTGATTTTAACATATTGCAGTTTCACTGTAATTAATCTCTTATCCAAGAAGTAGCTAGATTAACACTTAGACAGTGAGCATTAATGCTGGAAGTCCAGAGCTTAGAAAATGGTAGCCAGCCATTTTCAATCATTTCTGGCTCAGTGTACTATATTTGTAAGGAAGTGAGCGAGGCCTATCCTGTGTGTGCATCAGTTTCAGACAGAGTGAGCTGATTGTGATGTCAAACTGCGCCTTATGTAATGTGTCACCATTTATAGGTTTCTACATATTAAAAGCATCAAGGGATATGGGGGTATTGCAGGAAAATGGTGATGAAGTAGATCATCTTTGACATCATTGAATGGAGTTGGCTCAAGAGGTTGACTGGCCTGCTCCTGCTGCTATTTCATATGTTAATTGGCCGCATGCATTTATCTAAACTGTGAGGTGACCGCATCCTTAAATATACTATCCATGAACATCTCAGCCATATCATTTCACCATAGTGCCCTGTTGCTGCTCAGATTCCAAAACCTGGAATTTGAGTTGTTTCAGACAGCGGCACTTCCTGCACACATGCATGTCCACATTTTTTTCTGCCATGTGGGTCAAATATTGTCATTTGAAGGATAACTTGGGAGAAGTAAGAAGAATGCATCTGGCACCCTTTCACTTTGGGTTGGCAGTCCATGAGCAGAAACTTGGATTCTTGTTCCTCAAAGATTTCATCGTCACATCGTGCTGTTCCGCAATTCTGCATCTTTCCAACCCTCTGCAAAAGACCTCATGGTATCCTTTGGGCTAAAATCCTGAAGTAATGGATGATGCAAAAAAAATTCATAACAGTTTCATACAAAAAGCTCCTAATAATACGTATTAAGTCAAGTACCCTTGTGCATTCCCTTATTGTCTATCTTTTGAGTGTCTTTGTTCTAGTGCTGCTACACAATACTCAAAGCACGACTTTTACTGGGAGAAACTGCTGATGGCCTTGGAGAACATTCTTAGACAATTTTGGGCTGAGAAAGCCTGCTTCAAATGGCACTACTTGGAATGGGTGGCAGCAGTCTGGGCTGGCTGACTGAAAGATGGTGTTGAGAACACAAATGGTATCATCCTCTAAGAGATTGATGGCATGGAGTTGCAAACTTGCTCACTGATCCAGTGTGTTTGATTGCAGACGTTTATCACCCTGCTAGGTAACATTGTCAGTGCGCCTCCGGTGAATTGCTGGTGTTCTAGTTATTTGTACGCCTCGGTTTACTAGGGTGGTTGGTATTACTTCTGGTTCTGTTTTTCAACACTACCCACTCCATCCACTCCTCCCAAGAATTCTTCCACATCATCAAGGATACCAGAATAGAATAGGACGATATTGTTTGACCGTAACAGCGCTATTTACATCCATAAACATCAACCTAGCCAAAGAGACGATTGCCACACTGCTGGATGAAACAAGAAGGCTGGCACCCCAGGACACCAACAGCACCAACAAGGACAGCACCCTGAAACTGCTGGATCTGTACCTCACAACCCGCTTCACCTTCAACGGCCGTATATTCAAACAAATCAATGGAACACCAATGGGATCCCCAATATCCGGACTGATTGCAGAAGCGGTAATGCAGAAGTTAGAACGAACAGCGTTCCCCACTATACAATCCAGACTCTGGGTCCGATATGTAGATGGCACCTTATCAAACACAGAAGACTGGAAGAAATCCACTAACACATAACCAACGTCCCCACCAGAATAAAATTCACAAAAGAAGAAGAGGACAATAACCGACTATCCTTCCTAGACATAATGGTGGAACGTAAGAACAACAGGGAACTCCAGACTAGCGTATACAGAAAGACCACCCATACGGACCAGATAATTAATTACACCAGGAACCACCCCAATACCCATAAACATCAGGAGCTGCATCAGGACATTATTCAAACGAGCCACAACACATTGCAGCAACCTGGAATTGCGCAAAGCAGAACAGGAGCAAATACGGAGTTTTTAAAAGGAATGGATACCCAAAAAGCACAATCTGCAGTTACTTCTGCAACAGACCACAACAAGAAAATACAACACGGCCAGACACACTAGTCACCCTACCGTATATCAGAGACATATCAGAGATGACCACAAGACTATTCAGACCCCTAGGTATCAGGGTAGCCCACACACCAACAACCATCCTGTGACATCAACTGACAAACGGAAAGGACTCCATACCCACAGCCAATCAAACTAACATAATAAGCAAAATGCCATGCAAGGACTGTGAGAAACATTACATAGGCCAAACTAGAAGAAAATTGACAATAAGAATACACGAACACCAGCTAGCCACCAAGAGACACGACCAATTCTCACTGGTCTCAATACACACGGACAAAGCAGGACACAAATTTGACTGGGACAACACATCCATAGCAGCACAAGCCAAACAGAGACATCCCAGAGAATTCCTGGAGGCCTGGCATTCCAACCGGAACTCCATCAACAAACATATTGAACTGGACCCGGTATACAAACCACTGAAAAACAGAACCTGAAGTGATGCCAATCACCCCAGCCAACCGAGACATATAAATAATAAGCAGGACAGAACACCAACGCTTCACCGGAGACACACTGACGATGTTACCTCGCAGGGTGACAAACTGTCTGTAACCAAACACACCGGCTCAGCGAGCAAGTCTTTAACCGCATCCACAATGCGAGCTACAAATCTTCTCAAAAACTTTAGATTGATGGCAGATGCATACTCCATAGCACCACTATCAATCTCCTTGTCTGGTGTCTCAGCAGCTCTGGTAATCTTCGGGAGGATGGAATGCTAACCTGCTGTGAGAGCCTCCAAGCCCTTCTGAGCATTTAAATCTGGCCATGATGGCAGCAGTCTGAGCCTGAATAGCAATAGGCATTGATAACCTTACCTCAATCTGAGCATCTACTGCAGTGGTCAGATGTTGGTGGATGTATAATGCCTGAACTACAATATTAGCCATGACATTAGCCATCACACCATCACAGCTAGTTCTGCGAGAGTTCTCATACAGTTGCCTTCCTTTGGAAAAGAGGGCTTCTAAGTTCAGTAAGCAACCCTCTGCCACTTTGGAGTTGGTATCACCCATATATGCCTGGCATTAAGAATACACTATCTGGATGAGCTGCTGCCGTGCCAAGCACCTTAGCATGTATGTCCGCCAGTTTTCTCCTTAAGGTTGCCTAGCTAAAGTTCTCAGCTGGCCAGATCATTGTTCATGTGTATCTGAGGGGTTTGCAAGATTTTCAAATTCATACCATTTGCAGTTAACACTAAAAACAAGGTAGAGGGTAAAATTGAACTTGGGAAGGTACAAAAGGCAAGAAAATACTGTCATGCTGAATGACAGTGTGACACCACATGCAGCAGGCTCAGGTTTGCTGGCTGTGTTATGTGGAGCACCATCTCGCTCAAGGATCTTCAGAGATTAGCCATTAGATGGCTAATGTCATGGCTAATATTGTAGTTCAGGCATTGTCTCTCACCAATTCTCTGCTGCTTCCTCTTGTTGGGACTGATTGTGTCCTGCTAACAGAGGGAAGAGTATTTGTGATTGTATTTGGATGAAACAGTTGCCATAGCTCAGTAGCTGGACATAAATGAAAGCTTCAAGTGGCAGATGAGAGCATTGTTTACTGTGTGAGGGCAGGGTGAAGCATCTGAATGTTTGGCATGAACCCTGATTGCTGATGGATGAGCAATAAGCAGCTGGTGCATTGCGAACTGTGAGAAGTTAATGGTATGATTGATAGGAGATGTTACTTGAAGATGTATTCTCTGACCTAGAGCACTGGTGTGAAGTGATTTGACGTCCTTCAGCATTACAGCCAGGTCCTTGGGGCCAGTCCCTGGGAATATACTTCCTTTTCTCCTATTTATTTTGCAGAGAGTGCTTAGAGGACTATTTGGTACTTGCGGAAATATGACTTTACTCATCCTTTTCG